CAAAGTATCTTTGTTATGAGTCTAGGGTTGTTTGATTTTTAAAAGCCTTGATCTTGTTTTCTTATAAAACAAGCAAAACAAAACTAAAAGTATTCCCAGCAGCTGCTAGGCATTTACAGTCAACCATAGAATAATTAAACAGTGATAAGAATTAGGAAACAAGAGAAAGTTCTCCCATAGGAGTCAAGAAGATTACTCTAAAGAGCAGTGAATTCAAGAACTCATTTTAAATTGATGGACTAATAGCTTTGCAGCATCTGTCCAAGTCTGGTCCTGCCAAAACAGATCACTAGAGTGCATCTCTATGTATGATCTATGGCCTTACCCTTTATAGCATTGTTTGCCAAGCGAAACTGTTCACACATCACTGTTTCACTGTTTCCCAGAGCACCAAATTGGCACAATCTGCAGGCATATCATCTGTCCTGATGGATGTTTCTGGAACCAGTGTATTAAAAGTGAGATGGGAGGGGGAGGTGAAGAATGCCTGTTTTCCCCAGTGCAATGAACTGTAACAGGGACAATCCCATCTCAGAAATCTCACACAGACCCAAGATTCTCTCTTACCTGTGCTCTAACTTTTTGCGGCTAATACACATAGCCCTCTGGTAGCCCTGGGCAATGCACACTTTGTGCCGGCTACACTTCACTTTCTGGCAGGGGTCCTTGGTCGTGTCCAAAGCTGAAGACAGACAAAGAATGTGAATAGCTAGTATAGCAAACACTCCTTATCCTACTTAACAACTCCACCACAGTCGCTATGCAACCTGAATGTAGCATGAGAATTTCAATGAGGATTGCCTCCAAGTAGATCTTGTGCAGGAATGGGGAAAGTATAGCCCATGGACTGCATCCAGCCCACAATCACCCTCCAGGCTCAAAGCTATGGGTTGCTGGGACTAGCATGTCTCTACTTGCATGCCCACCTCCATCTTCACAGCTCCAGTTGGCTGGAAACTGGCCAATGGGAGCTGTAGGGGTGGTGCTTGTGGGTGTGGGCAGCATACAGAGGCCCACTGAACTCCTTCCCTTCTTTCCAGGGGTGCCCAACCGGCAGCTTTGACCAGCATGCAGGGATGCAGCAGGCAGGCAACCTGCATGAGCACCCAACTGGGAGGCCAGCTGGGAGCCACCTAGGATTAGTGCCTCTGGGCCAGTGCCTGCACCTGGCACCCCCTCCTGCACTCAAACTCCTTCCCAGACCCTGAACCCCAAACCCCTGATCCCAGTCACAACTCTCTCCTGCATCCAAACTCCCTCCCAACTCTTGCATCCCCTCCATTAATATAGTACAAAAGTGCAGTTTGTTACCACTTACCAAATTCCTAGAGTAGCCCTCCTGTGAAAATTATTGCCAAGCCCTGGTCTTGTGTCTCAATATTCATTTTAGGAGGGCACACAACCCAAGACATTTACATCTGGAATAACCAGTTTAAAGCTGGTGCTTGCCATGGATTAGAATCTGTACATTATATGTAGCAGACTGTTGGCAGTGGGAAAGGACTAAAGTATGGTAAAAAATGAGAACACCATGAAAATCTCTCAAAAAGTTCAACTATTTTTATTCCAATCAAAATTTGGATTTTTTTCCCCTCATTGGTGAAAAAATGATAATGAATTTTTTGCAAAAATTATTTGTCTTTATGCACTGAAATTTCAATGAAACATTTTTTGCAAAAGTCAAAATTTGTAAAATTTCAACCAGGTCTATATAGAATTTTGTGTTATACAGATTTTATGAGAGTCTGTAAAAAGCTCGTTTCCCCAGAACATAGAGCGTTCTGGAGCCAAAAGTTGTCCTACATTCCTTTTTTAAAAGGGAAGCTCTTGCAACGTTATATTGTTGGCCTGCCATTTATAAAAAGCGTAGGCCAGAGGTCTGAGCATAGGACAGGGAGCCATGAACATCCAAGTTTTAAACCTAGCTCTACTGCAGACTCTCCAAATGATCTTTGTTAAGTCATTTCATGTTTACTCTAGTGTCCTCCTTCAAATCCATCTTTAAAACTCCCCTTTACTATAATTAGAAAAACCTTGACAATAGTTAGGCAGCTGTTCTCAGACCTCTGCCTATCATGCTGACCAATATCGTCTCATTGTTTTCTTGTACTCCCCCATCCATCTGGCTGTATCCATCTGTTCTTCCCTGTCTTGTACTTGGATTGCAAATTCTTTGCAGCAGGGACCTTCTTTTTGTCCTGTGTTTGTACAGTACCTACTATGAGTTAACATTTAGAAGGTGCTAAGTAGAACTAACAACATAGAGAGAGTGTGTCAACAACACGGCATGTATTTATTTGCTCAGATTCTGAATTGTGAAAAATACCAGCTCCCTGGGGTCCTATCTATTGAATAAGAAGTGAGTTTGCCGAGAACAGACATTAGTCATTGATGAACTCCCGGGGCTCACAGATGCTGTTTTATTGCTGGGGCATCGCTCAGAGGGATTCAGCTTGAATCACAGCAGGCCCATGCTCAGGCAAAATAAAAGACCAGACATCCAACTTTTCCAAATCAGGACATGATGGAGAACACAATAAAAGCAAACAAAACACAAAACCACAAATTCATCTATGTCTATTACAGACTATCACATCTACTAAGGAACAGGAGGACCAGCTTCTTCTGCGCTTAAATATAATGTGTAGGAAAAAGAGCAGCATGATTTCAAACGAGTGGCATATGCCGGAGATCTTGCACTGACAGCACCAAAACACCCTGGCTAGGTCTACACTCACGGCTTCTTGCGCCAGAAATATGCAAATGAGGCTAAGTGTGGACTATCACCGAGCCTCATTTGCATACCTAATGAGCCACCATTTTTGCAGAAGAGGCTCTTGCGCCAGAAGGAGCTGTCTACACTGCCCCTTCTTGCGCAAGAAAAACCCTCTTGCTCAATGCCGTTATTCCTGAAAATAATCGGCATAGTGGCATTGCGCAAGAGAGTTTTTCTTGCACAAGAAGGGGCAGTGTAGACAGCTCCTTCTGACGCAAGAGCCTCTACTGCAAAAATGGTGGCTCATTAGGTATGCAAATGAGGCTCGGCGATATTCCACGCTTAGCCTCATTTGCATATTTCTGGTGCAAGAAGCCGTGAGTGTAGACATAGCCCCTTGGTATTCCTACATATTACAAAGGACAATTTTCTAACTCAATAAGTAGTGTCTCCAACACAGGGAATTCTATATTAGATCTCATCTTGAAAGATAGAGGAACTGATCGCAGAACTAAAAATTAATGGCAGTTTAAATACAAGTGATCATGATTTGATCACATTTGTAATGCTCAAACAGAACACTATTCAGACGTACTGCTTTAAAGGCCCAATTTTAAAAAGCTGAAAATGATTTTGTACTAAATC